GCAAAACATTAGTAAACATTTACCTACCTGGTAAATGGTATATTTAATTTCGTTTGGAATGGGAAATTTGCAAGATAGATCTAACGGTCTGGCGAAACACCACATTTATGCCACTCATAGTCATACTCCATCATATCCCGTTGCATCGTTCACAAAACAATTCAGCTGTCTGCCAGCTTCCCCGCAAGGTTGTCACTGTTATGTTCATCTACTTTGAAAAACGCTTGGACACAGTCCAGTCCCCAACGATGAAAACAAAGTTCCAAGGAATCACAAGTTAGTCGCATGTACACTAAGCAGCAGCACTGTGACTCATTTGTCGCATGCCGGGGTGGAGGCAGTACGTGAAATCATGATCGGCCGGTCATAAAAATCAACAGTCTTTGATGAGTTACAGGTTGACCAGGAAAGGATCTATTCTTCGATTCTGCAGGGTTTAGATTCAACAGTCAGTCATGTATTGTCCACTGTCATCTCAAATTTCAACCTTTCGCAAAATGTAAACACTGGCTCGTCCGCCTTTTCAAACTGTTGCGTAACTGTCTACTTAGAAGAAAATAAGTAGGTCAGACGATTCCATTATAGTGTGGCAGTTTCACGGCACACACAAACAATAGGCTGGTTTTAGTCGTGTGGAGATGGGATGGAAAAATCCAAGATCTCGGGTATTACATAATTGCATTGAATAAACAGTAGTTTGATTTCTTTGGACAGAATATTGTTATGTTGTAATGTTAAAAATACGAACGGCACCTACCGCCCTTCACAGACGAGTTCAATTCGCCTCTCGTCCCATGCCGGATTACGCAGTGTCTTCCGCAGAGCGAGGAAGTTCGATTTTAAATGGGTCATAGAATGGAGATAACCCTAGTGTGTTTGAAAATCAGAGACATGCTTTACTGAATTGATGGCGACTAAATATTTCAATTGAAACCTCACGCTATGCGTTCGGTTCCAATCGAAATTTTGTCGCCATCAATTCAGTAAAGCATGTCTCTGATTTTCAAACACACTAGGTTTATCTCCTAAATTGACCAAATTGCAGTTAGGATCCATGCCTGGGTTTGGTACTGTATATCAACTGACATGCTTGTATGGTTTTATATTACGTGATTAGAGCATGGCAAAGAAGTCAGGGTAGTTGTCTGTGACATAAGCAAGGCATTTGACAAGGTTTGGCATAAGGGAATCATAGTGAAATTAGAGGCTTATGTTATTAAGGGTAAGTTACTGGATTAGTTTTCCAGTTATCTTGATAATAGATTACAAGAGTAGGTATAGACAATTAAGATCTAAAGTGAGTGTCTGCTGGGGTGCCACAAGGATCTGTCCTTGGACCATTGCTGTTTTTAGTTCACATAAATGATATCATTGAGGGTATCAGTAGTAACATTCGTCTTTTTGCCGATGATACTTCCATACATGTTATTGTTGATAATCATGTTTTTACTGCCGCTTTCTTAAACTTAAACAGGATCTCTCACTGGGCTGAAATATGGTTAATTTTAATCCTGGTAAGACTGAATCAATTTCCAGTTCCTAGGCTTAAAATGCAAGGAGTTGACATTACTTAAGTTAGCTACCATAAACACCTAGGAGTAACCTTACAATCAGATTGCAAATGGAACTATCAATGGACTGACTGACTGACTGAGTTTGGTTTTACGCCGCTTTTAGCAATATTACAGCAACATCACGGCGGGGGACACCAGAAATGGGCTTCACACATTGTACCCATGTGGGGATTCGAACCCGGGTCTTCGGCGTGACGAGCCAACGCTTTAACCATTAGGCTACCCCACCGCCCCGAACTATCAATGGAACTGACCATAGATTAAGAAACCGTAATGACATTCAAACTATAAGATGTCGTAGTGATTTGTATAGCAATTTGTGTAATGGAATGATTTGCCTGAGAATATGTCTGATATTGACACTATATGCCAGTTCAAAAATGTATTACAATCATCAAAACCACTTAATTTTATTATATTTTATAAAAACTTTGGGACACGTTTATGCCAAATTATCCACTCAGGCGTCAGACATAGGTGCGCTGATTTGAATGCGCACATTTGAACGGCACATTTCAGTTGATCCATTCGGTTCCTGTGGTCACCCCTATGGGAATACTTTACATTTTTTCCATACTTTTCCTAATTATTCCAACATCAGATATCACATGTATTTTCATGTACATGGATATAATATTAATTCTGTCTTAAATGGAAATCCAAACAAGAATAAACTAAAATCTGTCCATACTTTCGCATAGGCTTGATAAAAGATTAAGGATGTTCAATACGCAGGTTGCTTGCTTTCCTATAATGCTGTATATTATTTATATTTGTTGCATTCACCAGTTTAGGTTAAAATGTTTTGAATAAAATATGGTTACACCATGTCCTTATGATTACGTAATCTGAAAGGGGGTTGGGTAGTGTCTCCAAAACAAGCTCTTTCAGTAAACATGGAGGAGTGTGTGTGTGTGTGTGTGTGTCACTTTAACAAGCGACTGCAGTTTCAAATTGCTTTTTTATGCACGTTAATGACTAATGATTCTTGCAGACTTCTGCCTATCTCATACACACAAAGGTTTCTTGCATATTTTCTTTCCTGGATTTTGTGAGATTTTGTTGTTTGTTTAATGTTTTTTGGGGTGGTGGTTGTGGTGGTGGTGGTGGTGGGGTTGGTACCAAGATGTAATGGCAAACAAAATGGGGCATGGTTGACAGATTACATGTAGAAAAATAAAACATTAAAAACAGCTGCATTTGTACTCTTTATGGATCAGACCAGGTTTGCGTTGCAGTTCAATGACTGCAGAGTTAGCGTCTTCCGACGGCCAGGTGAAAAAGTTTCCTGACGTCAACGTCAGACAGCGTCACAGTTTTAGCGGTGGTTCGGGATTTCTGTGCACCGCGTGACTGCTCTTTACGTCGTCCTGGGAAATTTGACTGGTATCATATACAGGGACGAAATGTTGCGTCCGTTTGTTGTTCCTACTCTTGGCTAAACTGGAGCTGGTTCTGTTCTTCAGGGTGATAATGCTTGGCCACAACGAGCCAGGCTTCTGAATGATTTTCTCAATCAAGATGGCACAGTGAGAATTGACTGGCTTGCACACTCGCCTGATATGACACCGATTGAGCATGTTTGGCACGAGCTGGGCAGGTGGGTGGGGGGCAATCATCATCAACCTGGTAATCTTCAAGAATCGATCCTATTTCTTCAGGTAGAGTGGCAGGCTATCCCACAGATGCTTTTTCGAGGTCTGATTGACAGTATGCTTCGACAATAATGTGCTGTATGTTTACTAGCACATGATGGTTTCACCCGTTATTGACATACACATTATTTCCGGAATGGTTGAATTTTCAAAGGATGCTTACAGTCATGATATTGAGTTTGCATGGAGCATATGATTTGCAGTGCTCAGCTTTAGGACTGCATACACCAATTCTAACCACATTCATGCTTGGAAATGCTGTTTTATATGTTTGCTATGCATAATTAAATGTCATGCTGAAATCTACCCTTGACCTCTTTGAGTAGTATATTTAATTAGTGTCGGACATTGAGCTTACAAAAACACACTATTAGTCTTGACCGAAAACATCTTCCATATATTAGAGGCAGACAAACACAAAGAAGGACATAAACAGACAATTTATTCATTCATAAATGAAATAAAACTGAAATATTTCACTTAAATATACCTTTCACTCCAACATGGTCGCCACATTGTTATTGCCTATCCCTAGAACAACGTTTCTGTGGAAAGGTCCTAGATTCGCCTGTGACTTATTATTAATGATCGAGTACTTCTACTAACGGGGTCGGGTGGTCAGGCTCGCTGACTTCGTATGTGATCGTATCCCAACCCCGTAGATCGATGCTCATGATGTTGATCACTAAACTGTATGGTCCAGACTCTATTATTTACAGACCGCCGCCATATAGCTGGAATATTGTTGAGTGTGGCGGTAAAGAACAAACAAACAAATCATGATAACTGATACATATATATCCAGTAAACGATCGTTGCGACATACATGTTTTTCCAATAGAACTGACATTTTTTTTACTTTGTTATGGATCTATAACTAGTTGTTCCCGAGCTAAATACGCGTACAATCTATTTTCATGATCCGTGTCTGACACATTAATATATGCGCGTGTTATGCTCATTTTACATTTCAAAAAGGTGAATGTAATATACCTTATTTATGTCATATATATTATTATTATATAAACGAGAAAAGAATAAATAACTAAGGTTTATAGATACTGTGCATACATTAGATTCTCAAGACTAGTTTACCAAAATCTTCTCAAACATTGTCGACAAGTCCACCCTGCATGTGTTGTGAATATAATGAGAGAGGTTATCCGTGAAGATCCGGGTTAGAACTGATCTTCAGTAACCCATGCTTATCGTAAGAGGCGATTAACGGGATCGGGTGGTCAGGCTCGCTGACTTGGTTGACACATGTCATCGTATTCCAATTGTGTGGAACGATGCTCATGATGTTGATCACTGGATTGTCTGGTCCAGACTCGATTATTTCCAGACCGCTGCCATATAGCTGGAATATTGCTGAGTGTGGCATATAACTAAACTCACTCACCCATTTGTTAGTTTCTTGTCTGATCAAAAAATCATTGAATTTTTTTGTTCTTATTGCTGTTAATACTTCATCATTCATAGGGGTCTGTAACAAGAATAAAATAATCAGTAAATTTTGTAAATTAGGACAGATCTATATAAAGACATAACTCACACACATAATGAGAGAGGTTTTCCCGTCGTCAAGCCAAAATTTTCTTCTTTTCAAACTTGGTTGGCACGCCATCTTTTAATTTTGCTCTCGCATTCTCGTTCTTTATACATTCAGTTTCTTTATACTTTCTGGATCTTTCAAAATGTAAGGGGTACGAGACATCGCTGTATGCCATCCTCATTAAATCGGTCCTTAACGATTGGAAGTGTGAAGAAATGAGACTTGGTACCTTTTTATGGACTGGGACACACCAACATAATACGATATCCTATCTCGAGTCTACTACATCCAGACAGTACCAGATTCCAGAGTAAACAAAGGAAAATGGCATATGGTCCTCCACTATGACGTCACAGCCCGAGTCTGGGCGAAGTTAGGATTACAATATGCATAGGCGTTGGCAGTGGAGTGATAAAATGACTCGTGAAGTGTTTTGGGGTGTAAATATGTATACTGGATTTAGTTTACGCCGCTTTTAGCAATCTCCCAGCAATATCACGGTGGTGGACACCAGAAATTGGCTTCACACATTGTACTTATGTGGGGGATCGAACCCGGGACTTTGGCGTGACAAGCGAACACTTTAACCAGAAAGCTACCCCACCGCCCCGTAAATATGTTAAGAATATTTTCAAAATATCTCCTTGTTGTATCTTGTAGCTTGTAATAACGTTGTTATGGACTGCAGATCTAATAAATCATGTGGGGGCGGTGGGGTAGCCTAGTGGCTAAGGCGTTCGCTCGTCACGCGAACCGGGTTCGATTTCCCACATGGGTACAATGTGTGAAGTCCATTTCTGGTATCCGACCCGTCGTTACATAGTGCTAAAAGAGGCGTAGAACTAAATTCACTCTCACTCACTCACTGCTAGTCAACCAATTATATTCGCAGGGGCCGTCTTAACCACGGCGGTCACCTCTATAGTTCCAGTTGCTGAACTCCGGTCACTGTTCACCGGTGTGTTACCATGGGGATCAGAATATTCTTCAAATGGAAATAAGAAGTCGTCGCCGGATGTTGAGGTACATGAAGAGAAGGTTTACGTTGATGATGATGCTCACAACCCCGACGAGGCCCAGGACAGAGAGTAACAAACATAATCTGAAAATAGCAACAATCATCATCAGACGGGACGAGATTTCTTTTGGAATAGCTGTTGTGTTTCGTTTCCTGTTATTAAGGCGACCGATCACAGTGTCACATCCAATCCATAAAGACCCCTTCAGCAACCCATGTTTGTTACGAGACAAATGGGATCGGGTGGTCAGTCTCCCTAACTAGGTTGACACGACATCAAGGTATGACCATTGTTTGACAGTCACACATCAAAGAAAGATCATTATATGACATTCTCAACTGAGAAAGACCATTGTCAAACATACATGCACACGTTATCTGACATTCACACATCGAAGAGTGAGTCAGTGAATTTAGTTTTACGCCGCTTTTAGCAATATTTTAGCAATATTCCAGAGGGGGACCCCAGAAATGGGCTTCACATATTGTACCCATGTGGCACACATCGAAGAAAAAGATTATTGGCTGACATTCAGACATCAAAGAGACACCACTGTATGACATTCACACATTGTCAAGCATCCGCATACCCGTGAATATCGGGGTTAGAATTGGTCTTCAGCATCCCATGCTTGTCGTAAGAGGCGACTAATGGGATCGGGAGGTCAGGTTCGCTGACTTGGTTGACACCTGTCATCGTATCCCAATTGTGTAGATCGATGCCCATGCTGTTGATCACAGGACTGTCTGATCAAGACATGATTATTTTCAGACCGTTGCCATATAGCTGGATTATTGCTGAGTGCGACGTAAACAGCAAACTAACAAAACAAACAAATCTGAATTTCACACATCAAAGAAAGACCATAATATTACATGACATTTCACACATCAAAGAAAGACCATAATATTACGTGACATTTCACACATCAAAGAAAGACCATAATATTACGTGACATTTCACACATCAGGGAAGAAACATCATTGTTTGACGTTTACTCATCAAAGAAAGGCTATTGTTTGACATTCGCATATCAGATGGGGAGGGCATGTATGAGAAGAACCGTCGCATGACATTCACACACTAGAGTGAGTGAGTGAGTTTAGTTTTACGCCGCACTCAGCAATATTCCAGCTATATGGCGGCGGTCTGTAAATAATCGAGTCTGGACCAGACAATCCAGTGGTCAACAGTATGAGCATCGATCTGCGCAATTGGGAACCGATGACATGTGTCAACCAAGTCAGCGAAACTGACCACCGATCCCGTTATCGCCTCTTACGACAAGATAGTCGCCTTTTATGGCAAGCACATGGGTTGCTGAAGACCTATTCTACCCCGGATCTTCACGGGTCTTCACCTGTACTAGAACGTTGTGTGACATTCACATATCCTAGGACAGCGTAGTGCCTACCTGTACTGAACTGTCTGGTCCGCCACCAAATGTTCCGACTCGGTTATCTCCCTTGCCACACCAGCTGCAGAAATATCAAACAGAACAAATTGTAAACCAGAAGTCACTGTATTCTTTTATCTGATTGGCTGAAAACATGATCGAATGTTTTCGATTCTCTGAAATTGCAAGACTGTTCGCTGCGTATTAATACGTACAAATATACTGAACAACATTAGAAACGCACCACCCATATAATACGAAATATCCCCGTCAGACTGAAATGTACCCATGATATCTGAGCATCGTCGGAACATTTTGGTGTGGTGCGTTTCTAATGTTGTTCAGCATATGTCAGTGAGTGCAGACAGAAGGTGTGGAATGAGTGAGTGAGTTTAGTTTTACGCCGCACTCCGCAATATTCCAGCTTTATGGCGGCGGTCTGTAAATAATCGAGTCTGGACCAGACAATCCAGTGATCAACATCATGAGCATCGATCTGCGCAATTGGGAACCGATGACATGTGTCAACCAAGTCAGCGAGCCTGACCACCCGATCCCTTTAGTCGCCTCTTACGACAAGCATAGTCGCCTCTTGTGGCAAGCATGGGTTGCTGAAGACCTATTCTACCACGGATCTTCACGGGTCTAGAAGGTGTGGACCTTTTGGTTTATTTTTGTGTTTACAATGTCGATAAACATGATGTGTTGGCCAATTTCCGGGTGTTATTTAGTATTTGAAGCACGGAAATATTTCATTTGAAACCTCCGGCTCACCCAATCGGTTCCAAATCAATTCCAGTGCTTCAAATACTCAATAACACCCGGAAATTGGCCAACACATCATGTTTATCTCCTAATTAGCAGCCCGTCGGTGAAGGTGTTTCAGATAATGTAACAACATCCCCATATCTGCACAGTTACTGACATTCCATATAAATATACATGGAAGGTGTGGTCCTTAAACTTTAAAAAAAGTTGTACATACATATATACCAAAACATTTGTGCGTGTGTGAGTGAGTTTAGTTTTACGCCACACTCAGCAATATTCCAGCTATTTGGCGGCCGTCTGTAAATAAGAGTCTAGACCAGACGATCCAGTGATCAACAGCATGAGCATAGAATCTACGCAACTGGGATACGATGACGTGTGTCAACCAAGTCAGCCAGCCTGACCACCCGATCCCGTTAGTCGCCTGTTACGGCAAGCATGGGTTACTTGAGATCAATTCTAACCCGGATTTTCACGGGTACCACAATATAAGATATAACGATGAGACATGTATAACCGAAATTGTACAATCGAATCTGCTTTTAGCGGAGGTTTCGTATGGATTCGGAAAGGAATTGAAATTTCACGTGTATATATGTACATATAAATCTGGATAGAAACTGGATCTGGGATATCCAAGATATTTTTATGGATTAAACTTCTTTTTTAATTTCTCTCACAACGTTTCGAGACCTGATGAAGGGACCTGGAATGGTCTCGAAACGTTGTGAGAGAAATTAAAAAAGAAGTTTAATCCATAAAAATATCTTGGACATCAATTTACAACTTCTAAATGCCACTGAAAGACATGGATCTGGATAGATCTGGATCTTGCCCCTCTGATGCACCCGTCATAAACATACACAAAAGCTGGTTAGTTGTTCTCCTGAACAAAATACGGCCTGTATGTCTTGCGAGGCGCTACTTCCGGTACTAAGCTGATTCCCGGCTCCCTTAATGCGCGCCAACTTGCGATATGCGAGAAGGGGGCCCAAGTTGTTTCCGGTACAATATTTCCGGTGACAAGCGTATATTCAAGAACCAGTTCTGGTTCCAAATTGCGCGACCACCAAATATGACTTTACCGCACCGGACCAAGTGTACAACCATGCTTTGCTGCCACAGATGTTGACAGTCGTAATAGTTGGCTAATTTGGGAATAGTTAAATCGGCAATTTGTTATTCCTGCAAGGAATATCGGTTCCTTACTGTTAAATGACAACCATAAGGCCATTCGAAAAGGTATGAAACTTTGTTTGTCACCGGAAGTACTAAGGTCTCGCGAATTGCCGTGACCTATTTACGGGTCCATCATCGGGGAGGTATGAAATGAAAATCGAGAATTTTGTTTTTATTGCGTCACATTTTGAAATTTCCGTCATATGTCTACCGTATAACATTGGAATGCCTCTCTAAGCCTTGCGTGTTGTAGCTGTGATCGAACAACTTCTGAGCATGAATGGAATGACCCTGTCAGAAATTTGTTGAAAAGAGCAGGCTCGATTGTACCTCAAAAGTGGCTGGAGCTGTTGGCTTGTTGCTCGACATGAAGTGAGTGAATTTAGTTTTACGCCGCGTTTAGCAATATTCAAGCAATATCACAACGGGGGACACCAGAAATGGGTTTCAGACATTGTACCTATGTGTGGAATAGAACCCGGATCTTCGGCGTGACGAACGAACGTTTTAACCACTAGGCTACCCCACCGCCCCCTCGACATGAAGTGAATTACTAGAAAGTTGAAATGATCGCTTTTGCCATGCAGACTGTTGACAGTTGTTTTGTCACAATGAATCTTTATGCATAGATCTAAATATGAAACACGAGGGGCAACACCGTGAGGGGTGAAACCCCTGTTTCTCCCGGAACAGAATGATATTCATTTAATTTACAAAATATATCACGCTCTTCTAGACACAGTCTGAGCAGACCGACCTGTTTTCTTATCATAAAGGCTTTGTGAGGCTTTGTGAGGCTTTGTGAGGTGAGGTGAAATCGGGTTTAACGTCGTGTTAGAGAATATTTCGCTCATATGACGACGTGCATGCGTTTGTATGTGCGACTGCTTGTACTAGCCTAGACTGAAGCTGGTTTTATAGTGCTAGCTCTAATACCATTCCGCAGTGAAGCATGAATACCCCACTCAGACACATTATACTGACTCCGAACCGACCAGTCCTTGTTGTACCCATTAATGCCGAGCGCCAGGCAGGGACCAACAAGTACCATATTTTAACGTCTTTTGGTGTGACGTGGTCGGGGATCGAACCCGCGACCTTCCGCTCTCCGGGCGGACGCTCTAACCACTACACCACGGAGGCGGTCAAAAAAAGGCTTTGTCAATGTACATGTATTTTAATGGAGAAAAAACAGCGAAATTTAGAAACATTATTTCAGCGATACTACGAAGATAAGAACAAGAGGTAACTCAATACATAAGAAAACATTTGTCACGTCAAACTTCTTTTAAAAATACGGTCTTTTTCTTTTCATAAGTCCCTACTGATATTGTTGAACGTTTGGTTCTGAACACTGTTATATGGATACAAACAACCCACCTGGCTTTGTTTCGTGTGGGTCACAACTCGTTGGACACTGGAGGTGGGGACATGCTGGTCTTGACCAATGCCCTGGGCTGTTACACGCTCCCGGGTCACAGGAGTCATTCCCTAACCAATGAACCGTGACACGCTCTGGCTCATGAACACACAGGATGGTGGACACCTCACGCTCACAGGCGAAGATCTTGTCAGGACTGAGGAAAGAAACAGAGATGATGAGACTGGAGTGTGAGTGAGTGAGTGAGTGAGTGCGAAAGAGATAGCGAGAAAGAGTGAGGGTGTTTGAGTAAGGGAGTGTGAGTGAGAGTGTGAGAAAGTTGAAATGCAATCAATCCACATGATAAAAGTCGGGAAGCGTGGGTATATAACACGTTTCTGAAAAGTGAGGTGAGGTGAACTTGGGTTTAACGTCGTGCTTGGGAATATTTCACTCACATGACGACGTGCATGCGTGTGTATGTGTATGTGTATGTGCGGATGCGTGTACTAGCCCAGACTTAAGCTGACAGACGCCGTGAAGAGGAGTGCCATTGAACTGAAGGGCAAACCTTTCAGTCTTGTTGAACAATTCCCCCGGAAATCAGTGAGTGTAGGAGAGAGGTTCTTATGCCACTTATGCGTGCTGCTATGAAGGAAGGCAAACGTGCTAATGTAGTTGTCGACAAATTATACATCGACAACCAGTTGCAATCAGTGGCCGTACAACCCCCTTATAGACCCTCACAGCCCGCGGATGTATACAAACAGGCCCGCTCAGCCCGCCAGCCCCGGCAATAGGAAAGCGTCGGTGGGCAGGAGCAGCTGACCCAGCAACCCCAGCAAGATGAACTTATTCAACCCCTTGCTGCAGTGACCAACACAGCCTGTGTTAAAAGTAACATTACGTGTGTTTGTGCAGATTCCCATGAGTTAGATGTTACTCCAGATGTGACTCAAAATGACTTATCCCCATGAAATATAAACTCTTCTACGCAAAATGATATTTCAAGACATTCTACGTTAACAAAACCCGATACAAACATTACCATAAATGATATAGAATATTAACATAATGGACTAAGTTTTCTCAGCATTAATGTGTGTGGTTTGCCAAACAAATTGGATTATTCCCGATGTTTTAAATTTGATTGAAAACAAAGACATTGTTTGTTTACAAGAAAAAAAAACACATTTTAGATGATCTTAAAATTAAAGGCTACAAACTCTATGTTCAAAATAGAAAAAATGTATCTCGTAAATCTGGTGGAATTGCATTAGCAGTTAGAGGAAAATACTCGGATTATTTATTTCCTGTAGAAATTGAGAATGAGTACATACTGTGGTTTAGAATTTCCATAGAGTTGTTTAATATTGAGAAAGACCTCTATCTTGGAGTTACGTATTTACCCCCTGAGGGGTCAAGGTATGCCAAAGATTCAATGTTCAGTGATATAGAAGAGTCAGTTCTTAAAGTGTTCGGCCTATCAGAATACGTTATTCTAATCGGTGATTTTAACGCAAGAACTTCTAAAATGCCTGATTACTGCGTAATTGATCAACATTAAGTTGATGAATTTGGCCTTGATGCTGAGTGTTTCGAAGATGATATTAACATCTGTAATGGTAGATTCGGAAATGATATATACCGAGGAAAAACAACATGCAATGAAAAAAAGTGTTATTGATTATGCTATTGCCTCATCAAAATGTTTATCACTACATTTGATGCCCGAAAGACGACTTATAATAGCCCAGCTGAGAAACAAAAAAGAGATAAACCCTGGTTTAATAAAGAATGTAGATATAAAACTGTACCTAAAGGCTAAGAAACGTTACTGTAAAAATCGAAGTAATAGTTATCAATTAAGCTTTAAAAACAGTGAAAAAAACTATAAAAGGTTTATTAATAAATGTATTAAGAAATGTAAGAATAAAACTAGTAAATTAATCAGAACACAGCAAATACACTCCACAAAACAGTTCTGGAGTGCCCTAAAGACAGATGATGATGATGTAGATATAAAATCCCCCTTGCCCTAGTACCCAAGAATTTACCGATTTCTTTAAAATATTAAATGAATGTTGCCCACTTGACACCACTGACTTTGAAGAATTGCCCTCAGCTATGTTCGATAACGAACGCTTAAATAGGAACATAACACTTGAGGAAATTAGCCATTCAATTAAAAGCCTTAAACGTAATAAAAGCAGTGGAATAGATTTAACTGAAAATGACTACTTAATAGACACGTTTGATGTTATGGGAGGATTTTATGTATCTTACTTCAATCTGATCCTGTCTTCAGGAGTTATCCCCGAGTCATGGCTCACGGGAGTAATTAGACCAATATATAAAAGAAAAGGAGACCCATTAAATCCCAACTCATACCGTCCTATTACCATACTTAGCTGTTTCGGGAAATTATTTACATACATTCTTAATAAAAGGTTGAACATACTTTTAGAATCAAACAACATTTTATCAAGTGCACAAGCGGGATTCCGAAAAAGATTTTCGTACAATATAGATGGTAAATTTCTAAACATAGTTAAAAATATGTACAATAATATTAAATCATGTGTTCTTGTAAATAAGTCATATTCTAATTTCTTCTTTAGCCATAACGGTGTAAGACAAGGTGAGAACCTCTCACCATTACTATTCTCATTTTTTATAAATGATTTAGAAACTTTTCTTGTTAATGAAGGTTGCAATGAGGCTAGTGAAACTGGTGACACAACAGATTCCATATTGCCTGGAGATCTCAGATTTACACTTCAACCGGTCACTGTGGAAGACACTGTCAAGGTTATTGGAAAATCAAAACCCACTACATGTGCGCTGGACCCTATTCCTACAAAATTACTTTTGAAGTATTTAGATGTACTTCTGCCTGTGATCACAAGGATCGTGAATATCAATCTAGCCACTGGTACATTCCCAAATATATATAAACTGGCACTGATAAGACCACACATTAAAAAGAAGACTTTAGATGTGCAATGCCATGCAAACTACCGGCCAGTCTCAAACCTGACTTTCATGTCCAAAATTCTGGAGAGAGCTTTTGACCTTCAACTGGCAAAGCACCTCTATGAGAACAACCTGGTGAACAAGTTCCAGTCCGCCTATCGTCAGAAGCATAGCACAGAGAGTGCTCTACTCAGGGTTACGAATGATCTGCGGGGCTATGTGGACAAAGGTTCCATTGGATCTCTTATCCTGCTCGATCTGTCGGCAGCCTTTGATACTGTGGACCATGGTATACTTACAGTACGACTACGACAGGAAGTGGGTATATCAGGAATACCACTTTTATGGATATGCTCATATTTGATCAACAGACGCCAGTCAGTTATGATTGGTGATACTAAATCTGAAAGTATCGCGCTACCCTGTGGGGTTCCCCAAGGATCTGTGCTAGGTCCAGTCCTGTTTGTGCTGTACACAAGTAGTCTCAGCTCCAGCATCAGACAGTATGGGCTGAACCACCATGCATATGCTGACGACACCCAGCTATATCAAGGTTTCAAAGCAAGCGAAGCAGTCGATGCACTTGCAAGAACTACTGACTGCACTAAATCAATAAAAACATGGATGACGTCAAACAGATTAAAACTGAATGATGGAAAAACTGAGGCCTTACTCGCTGGACCCAGACAGCGCATCCAACAGTTGAATATCACGTCAGTGGCTGTGGGAGACTCATTCATACCATTCGCCGACAAAGCAAAGAACCTGGGTGTCATCTTTGATTCTCCCTTGTCAATGGAACCCCAAGTTAATCAAGTGTGCCAGACCTGCTACTTCCATCTAAGAAGTATTGGTAATATCCGCCATCTTATTACCAAAGACGTAACAAAGACACTAGTCCAACAACTTGTGATGTCCCGCATTGACTACAGCAACAGTCTGTTGTATGGTTTGAGTCAGGATCTGCTGAACAAACTCCAGAAGGTACAAAATAGGGCAGCTCGTATTGTGAGTCGTGCACCAAAAAGATGCCACATAACACCGGTATTGATGTCCCTACACTGGCTACGAATAGAAGCCCGGATCGACTTCAAGATCTTGTGTTTTGCCTACCACTGTTTGAATGGTACAGCACCGAGTTATCTATCAGAACTGATCTCACCATACCAGCCTTCACGACGTCTAAGGTCTGAAAACCAATGCTTACTTGCAGTACCAAACTCAAGACTAAAATCCTACGGCAACAGATCGTTTCAAGTAGCAGCACCTCAGTTATGGAACCCACTACCTCAGAACATTAAAGAATCCCCCACCCTTGAGACATTCAAAACCAACCTAAAAACCTTTCTCTTTAGAAAGTTCTATCCCCACGAACTATCTCCTCCCGTGAACTTCTCATCTGTGACTATTGTAGCGCCTTGAGCATGCACCTCTGTGGATGGAACCCAGCGCAATATAAATAGACATTATTATTATTATTATTATTATTATTATTATTATTATTATTATGTGGGGACACATACCTTGGAATCCATTTTCATAGAAATGGACGGATGATAACTGCTATTAAAGAACTCGCTAATAGTGCAACCAAAGCCATGTTTTCACTCGTGAAGAGAGCCCGAAATTTATATTTGCCGATAGACACACTTTTGAAAGCATTTGATATTAATTTATATTAATTTTACCGATTCTCACCTATGGATGTGAAGTTTGGGGTTACGAAAATCTACAATTTATAGAAAAGATACACCTAAAATTTCTGAAATATGCTGCTGGACTCCGTTCGTCTACACCAAGCTTCATAGTATATGGAGTATTAGGCAGATTGCCTACTGAAATATATATCTATGTATGAATGATAAGATACTGGCATCAGCTTGAAACTATTAGTACTCCACTAAAGCTATCACAATAAATATATCGTTCCATGAGATACCAATACTACTGTAATGGCACTGTTTTACCTTGGTTTAAGCATATCAAGCAAATTCTCGATACCTCAGGATTATCTTACTTACTTGAAAACCCGTTCACCTGTACAACGAAATATATTTCTCTTACTGTTGAAAATGTACTAAAAGATCAGTTTTTACAAAGGTGGCAAAGTGACATCAGAAGCAGTTCCAAAGGATTTTATTATCGTGTCCTGAAAGATTCCCCATCATTTGGAAAATACCTCTTATTACCAAAAGAAATATCTTATCCCTTACTATTATTTAGAACAAATAATCATCATCTCCCAATTGAAACTGGCCGTTGGAAACGCATCCCACAAAATGATAGAACCTGCCATCTCTGTAACTCACCTTCAACAGCTGATGAATTCCATTATCTATTTAGATGTTCTGCCTTCACTCAAATTAGATGTCATTATTTGGAACCATATTATTGTACATTCGCTAATTTGTATAAGATGAAATCATTGTTCGCATCCAACAAACTGTCAATTCTTAAGAAATTATCAAAGTTTATATCTATTATCAATAACCGTGTTAAAGCTACGCAAAAACTGTAAATTATGCAACGACCTTCCAACAATGCAATTAAATTAATGTATAATATATATCCTATGCTCTTGTACCACCGTGGGTGGTTAAAAGAGAATAAAGATTGCTTAATTGATATAGTGCAAGCCCACTGAGATACCATGCCGCAGTGAAGCATGAATACCCCACTCAGACACATTATACTGACTCCGAACCGACCAGTCCTTGTTGTACCCATTAATGCCGAGCGCCAGGCAGGGACCAACAAGTACCATATTTTAACGTCTTTTGGTATGACGCGG